AGTCAGCACCGAGCTGAGTCAGGGCTGTGCCAGAGGCTGCGACCTGTGCTCCGAGTTCAACGGGTGCCTGAGATGTTCCCCCAAGCTCTTCATCCTTCTGGAGAGGAATGATATCCGGCAAATTGGGATCTGCCTTCCCTCTTGTCCACTGGGATACTTCGGCCTTCGCAATACAGACATGAACAAGTGCATCAGTGAGTCTGGGGCGGGAGGGAGCGGGCGAAGCGCGGGAGGGCGGCGGCGCTTGGCCGGGGATGGTGCCGCGTCCGCTCGGGCGAGAGGAGCTGCTGTGGCTGCAGCGAGGGGAGGCGGCAGAGCTGAGCAGAGCAGTGACCCACCCAGGGAGCAACCCCGCAGTTTATGCTGCTGGTGGCTAACGCCCCTCGAGCACCCAGGCCGAGGCGCTCCCTCCCTTGGAACAGCCACTAGATGCTGCCCCAACTGCCCTGAGAGGGCGGGTAAGCATCCAGTGCCCCCCACCAGCCCTTCCAGGCCGGTTTTCACTTGAGTTTTGGCCTTCCCGGTCTTTGAGAGCCTCTGTGGGTCTCTCAGTGCTGCAGGCGGGTGGTGGTCATGGACCAGTGGTCCTTCTGCCAGCAAAGCCCTGAGGGCTGGGTTACCCCGTCGCCACACACTCGGGGCCGCGTAGCTTCGCTGTGGATGTGGCATCTTGCGGGATGTTTGGGAAGCTGTTACCTGGGCTGCCGGGCTGGGAGGGAGGAGGGGAAGGGACATCCTTTCGGCTTTTGAGGCACTGCTCACCCAAGTGACTTTTCTCCTCTCCCCTGCCCGCTCTCGGTAGCCAAGCGGCTCTCTGAAGGAGATCCTTGGCCTGGGGCTGCCTCTTTCAGCCAGAGCATCAGAGAGAAGCTGGACATGGAAAAATGTGATCACTTCCCTGGCAGTTTCATGCAAACCACCCCCGTGGCCAGATTTCTGCCTAACCCCGTTTCTTTGCAGCCCGTACTGTAGCTGCAGCCGGAGCGGTTGATACGGGACTTTATTCCTTCACTGTCCCACTTTGGCTCCTGACGCTCCAGCCGAGCACCAGCCCAAACCTTTCGCCCCCTGCCTGACTTGGACCCGTGAGAGCTGCAGCACAGCGGCTCTGTCCTGTACCAGGGAACGGTGCAAAGAAATCTGACTCCTGTCCAGCTGAGTAGCACCACCAGGCCGGGCAGAACAGTCAGAGACTTGCCCTGGCTGTTGGCGGAGCCCTTGGAGCCAGGCGTGAGCTTCTATCAGCGGAGAGGCGCTTCCTGAGCCCTCTGCTCACATCAGACTACTTGACAGCTTTGTGTTTTGTTTTGGTTTTTTTTTCCCCAGAATGCAAAATTGAGAACTGTGAGTCCTGTTTCAGTCGAAACTTTTGCACAAAATGTAAGGAAGGTTTGTATTTGCACAAAGGGAGATGTTACGTCACATGCCCCGAAGGCTACTCTGCTGCCAACGGCACCATGGAGTGCAGCAGTCCTGGTAAGTGGCACCTTCCCCGCAGCTTTGTGCGCGTCTGTCGGGTCCGGGCACCTGTACTGCTGCCGTTCGGTTTAGAGGGAAAACCAAACCCCTCGGAGGTGATGGCTCATCGTACCCGTGTCAAGCGGGTGATGGCGCAGGGCAGACCCAGCCCGTCAGAGGGCAGAGCCCTCTGGAAACCAGCCCAGACGGGGAGCAGCACCCCAGCGCTGCTGCTGCTGCACGTTCGTGAAGCGTGAGTCAGCGAGCGGCACGGCGAGGAAGGGGGTGCCTTGGAAACTGGGGGAGCTGCTGGGGAAACGCAGGCGCCCTTCAAGCCTAAAGCTGGGGAGAGGTGCGGTGGCGTGCAAGGGCTCCGGGAAGTCCTGAGGCAGCAAAGAGAAACGAGAGTTACTGCTGGCCTCTCTTGTTATCTGGCAGCGCAATGTGAAATGAGTGAGTGGGGGCCCTGGGGGCCCTGCTCCAAGAAGAGGAAGCTCTGTGGCTTCAAGAAGGGCAACGAAGACCGAACGCGGCGGATTCTGCAGGCTCCCTCCGGAGACGTGTCCCTGTGCCCTGCCACCACGGAGGTGCGGCGATGCACCGTGCAGAAGAACCAGTGCCCTGAAGGTGAGCAGACCCGCAGTATCTTGCCCCCCAACCCCCTTTATTTGCCAGGCACGAGCCTTCAGCCGAGTGTCCGGCGCCACAAACGTGCCGCACATATCACCACCCCTCCGCGGCGCGGGGAGCGCGACGTGACGGCAGCTGGAAAGACCCCTGGGGGGAAGCAGCACATCCCCCGAGGCGGGGTGGGGGGGATGCTCCCCACAGCTTCCCGAGTGTCCCACTGGCTTTCAGGCTTTTTAGCTTCTCTGGCCAGAGAGCTCCGAGCAGCCGACGGTGCGCGCCCGCGCGCTGCGGCAGTGGGACTCGTCTTCGCCTCTACCAGAGTGCTTAGGTCTGTGATTTTCCCAGGAATTAGAGTGTCTTCAGGATGAATGGTGGTTTGGTCATCCCCTGACGGGCTGGACGAGGATTGCAGCTGGGTTGAGTGTTTGGAGGGAAACCGGTTCTGTGCGGTGACTAAGAGCGCGGGGATGAATCGGCCGGGCAGGGGGAGGCAGACAGGGCTGGCCTGTTCCTCCGATGCGCACACCAGCCTGCGTGAGCTCAGGGGCCTGGTATGCAGCCGCCGAGAAATGCAGGTGTTAACACTTCTGCTGGAGACCAGCAGTGGCAAAGATAAATCCAGCTCTGAGCCTTCTTCCCTGTTTATATTTAGGCAACAGCTCCCCGCGCGAAGCCCGGCCCGGCAGCCAGGGCAGCGCTCGGGCCACCGCGGGGAGCAGCGGGCCACGGGCCAGCTCGCTCTGCCGGAGAGCCTCACGGTGCCCCTTTGCTTTACTGCAGGGAAAAAGAAGAAAAAGGAAGAGCAAGGAAAGCAAGACAACGCGAATGGGAACAGAAATCAGAAGGACACCAAAGACGCTAAGTCCGGCACCAAGAAGAGGAAGAGCAAACAGAGAGGGGCCGCGGTCCCCGCGACGTCCGCTAGCCCTGCCCAGTAGCTGCCCCTTTACGTCACCTGAAGGCAAGACTTCGTTGCTGCTATGTATATGAAAGCTTTATTGAACCAGAGCACTGCTACACAACACGTACACATGTCCAGAAAGACAGATATATACTCCCAGACCGACCCGCAGACCCGACAGAAACCACACAGACGGTATTTAAGGAGGCTGCACACACACGCACCGCCCAGGATCGCAGAAGGACGCTGCCAGAAGAGGAGCGGGGGCGCAGACGGAGGGGACCCCACCTCCCCAGGGCTCCGCGGGGGACCCTGCGGGGAGGAGAGGGGGAGGACGAGTCAGCAAAGGACCCAGACATGAGACTTCATGACCAAAGGCCTCAACTTGAGACCGGGCGCGTGGCCCCTGCGCAGCACGGCTGTGGCCAGAGGGACGAGACCGGACCCGCACGGCCGCTTGCCCCAACCTGGGACCCGGACTCACACAAAGGCAGTGGCCTCTTTCTCTTCCCCCCACCCTTTATTTTTGTGTTTTAAGCTGTATGACTTTATCATTGCGAATACATGTTAAACGTTTGTGGTAAGAGGTCAGTGGTATCTGCCCTGAATCTGCTTCAAAGAGTTATTTCAAATTAAAAAACAAAAAACGACAACCAGCTTCCTGAGTGTGTGGTTCATGCCTTGGCCCCTATGGAGGCTGGTGTCCCACAGGACAGAGACTCACTTGTGGAAGGGAAACTCACCAAAGCTTTAAGAAAATCCCAGAACACGTTGCCAGCTGTCCTGCGCTCGCAGGACCCCAGCTGTGCTCCGCGGAGCCCCCGAGGAATTTCCCACTGAAGGATCCGGTTCACATGCAGCAGACTGAGCAAATGAGAGGTTACAACAAACCACAGGTTGCCGAAACGTTGTGACTCCGCTCGTACAGTCACAGCTGCAGGACTCCATCCCGGGCCAGGGACACGCTCGTCCGTCCGCTGCCCAGGCGCGTAGCAGGAGGGAAGGCAGGCGGGAGGGGAAAGGCACAGTTCGGGCTCTGCAGAAGAGAAGCAAACTTTTAAGTTTGGTAGAAACTACTGGCCTGCATGGCACCGACTGGAATTCCCTGGATTCAGCACGAGCCAACACCTGGGCAGAGGGACCGGGACAAGGACCGTGTGGGACGAGGACCCGGGGAGACCCCCGCAGGGTCTCGGCACGGAGAGCTTTGCCCTCAGCACTGTCTCTTATACAC